TTTCCTTTCATAAATTTTGTTTTCTAGTTGTGGTCTTCTTTTTTTCCACTTAGAGAAGTCTCTCCAACATTTTTTTTATAGCTAGTTTAGTGGTGCTGAACTCTTTTTAGGTTTTGCTTGTCTGTAAAACTCTTATACCTCCTTCAAATGAATGATAACCTTACTGGATAGATTATTTTTTCCTTTCAGCGTTTTGAATGGATCCCACTATTCCCTGGTATTCTGCAAAATTTATCTGGAAAAGTCAGCTGACAGATTTATGGGAGTACCTTTGTATGTAACTGTTGCTTCTCTTTTGCTTTAATATTCTCTCTTAATCTTCAAGTTTGGCATTTTAATTACAATGTGTCTTTTTATGGATCTCTCTCTCTCTCTCTCTCTCTCTATTGATCTTGTTTGAGACTTTGTATTTCTTGGACCTGGATATCTATTCCTTTCCAAGTTTAGGGAATTTTTCAGCTATTATCACTTTAAATAATTTGTCTACCATTCTCTCTCTCTCTTTTCCTTTTTGGATCTCTATATGAAAATGTTAGTATGCTTGATGTTGTCTGAGAATTCTCATATTTTAAAATTTCTTTTTCCTCTGTTTGTTCAGCTTGTGTGACTTTCACCACACTGTTTTCTAGTTCACTGATCTATTCCTCTATATTGTTTAATCTACTGTTGATTCTTTGTATTAATTTTCATTTCATTTCAGTTTTGTATCCTGTTTCAACTCTGTTTCTTTCTTCTTTATATTTTCTAGCTTTTTGTTAAACCTACTATACTCATCATTCTTCTCCTGAGTTTGTTGAGGATCTTTATGATCATTACCTTGAGCTAATGTCTGGTAGATTGCTTATCTCCACTTGGCTTAATTCTTCTTCTGAGATTTTATCTTTTTCCTTCATTTGGAACATATTCCTGTGTTGCCTCATTTTGCGTAATTCTTTCTTTTTGTTTGTGTATTTGGTCAGATTGAGCATGTTTCCTAATCTTGGAGAAGTGTCTGTATAGTACAGTCCTTTCTGGTTAACAGAGCTGTGTGATCCAGTGGTACCCTCTGCATGGTCTGGGTGAGCCTCTGAGTGTTGTGGTGCTGATGTAGGGGGGGCCCATTTCTCATAGGTTAGCTGCCTACACCTCGTGTAGAGGCTGCTGGTCGTTGGTGCTCAAGACTGGGTCATAGTATGGCTGACTGCACAGTCTAGGGGTTTCTGGAACTGGTTCCATCCCGCGGGTAAGTGGAGCTGTGTCTTGGCATGGCTGACTTAAGGTCTGGGAGGTCTTGGGGCAGTTGACTGCAGACACAGGGTTTTGGAGCCGGAGTTAACATGCTGGTTGGTAGTGTAAGGATCCTGGGTGGCTGGCTGTGAGCCTGGGAGTCCCAGGGCAGCTGACTATGGGCCCTGGGGATTTTCAGTTCTGGTGCCTACCTGCTGGTAAGTGCAGCTGATTCCTAGTGCTAATTGGATAGATGCAGAACTCCAAAATGGCACTTGCCAGTACCAATGTCCTCATGGTAAAATATGCTACCTCAAATGGCTGTCAGCAGCATCTTCTGGAGAGAAACTCTCCCAAGGGGGTCCCAGTTGCCTTCTGTCTCCCTGAGAGACTCTCCAGGATCAGCAAGTGGGTCTGATCCAGACTCTTTTAAGCTTACTGTATGCTGGGTTTCCAAGTGCATGAGACTTTGCATGGGCTCTTTAAGAGTGAAGTCTCTGATTCCTATAGCCCTCTTGCACCCTCCTTGTACAAGCCCTGCTGGCTTTTAAAGCCAGATGTTCTAGCGGCTCAAGCCCAGTGCCTCCAGGTTTGAGAGATTAATGAGGTGCTTGGACCCCTTGCTTCATGGGGAGAACTTCTGTAAATAACCTCTGTGATTATCCTCTTGTTTATTAGTTGCTTATCTGGTAGTGTGGGTCTTCACTGTATCACATTCCCCATCCTTCCTGTCATCTCATGTAGTTCTTTCTTTACATCTTTACTTGTGGAATATCTTTTCTGCTACTTTTCAGATCATTTTCATAGATCGTTGCACTGTAAGTGGTTATAATTTTGGTGTGCTCATGGGAGGAAGTGAGTTCAGGGTCTTCCCTGAGAAGAGTCTTCTGTGCAATCTTGATCACTCTCTGGGCTGATTCTTACTGTGGTGCCTCAGGACTGGTTACATTGGAAGTTAGCCTTGATTTCTTTGTTCAGACTCAATTGTCTGGTCTTTCTGATTTCATACTTCTTTGTTCTTGGTTCCCTGCCATGTTAACTTTCCTCAGATCCCTTTGAATAGTCCTTGGAGTTCTCCCTTATGAGAATAGTAAGAACTTAAGCAGCTCATTCACCAATCTCCATTGAAAGACACTTAGGAACATTGCATATGAAGGGCTGGGTATAGTTTTATAGGAAAATGATTGGTTTGGTGGCCAGCAAAACTGGGTTTTGTCATGGTAGTTCCCAGGTCAAGGTTCAAACGTCTTGTGTGACATTTTATCCATTTAATTAATTAGTTGATAAAATTAGTATTTATTGAACCTTAGACACCTGAGGTACATAAGATAAATAGAAATCCCAGGTTCATGAAGCTTATACTCTACTGGGAAAGGTAAGTAAAAAGGCTAATTGATATATATGATATGTGGACCTTGACTGTATCACAAAGAATGTGAAGCCAAAAAAAATATGAAGCAAAGAAAGAGTATATATGTTAGTGTTCACAGATGACGAAATTGTGACTAGGCAGTGAGGAAACAAGGTGACTATTGAAGTGAAGGCCTGAAGGAAGTTGCTTTTAGTTATTGGTCTTTTATAGCAGATAATTTATTGCTAAAATGGTGTAGAAGAGGTCATGAGTATTGTGTTGAGAGCTGGTAAATGAGATGTGTAAAATGTTCTATAAACTCTAAAGTGACTCCATGCTGTAATTTTTTCTCCAAGGTATACTGTATGATGTAATTTCTGTTCTTAATTTTCAAATCTCAAATTGAGTTAATGTCCAAGACAGTGATTGTTAAAGTGTGGTCTCTGGACCAGCAACATCATTTGGGAACTTTTTAAAAACATAAGTTCTAGGGCCCCATACAGACCCAATGAATCATAAACTGTGTAGTTGAAACTCAGCAATCTGTTCTAACAAGTCACTGAGAGAATTCTTATGTACTCTGAAGTGTGGGAACTGCTGATCTAGAATAACTTCCTAGTTATTTCCTTAATTTCCTTAGGTAGAATTTAGCCATTTTAGGAGGACCTATTAAAGCTTCTGATTTGACTGAGCAAAATAATAAAATTATTCTTTTTTTAATTAATTGAAAATCAGTAAAATTTTTTTATTGGACTAGCATTTGTTTATAGTAAGTTTTATGTATGTGCACAACATTTTATTTCTACTTATGTATACACTGCAGTGTGCTCACTACCAAAAATTTAGTTTCCGTTTATCATCATACCGTTCATCCCCTTTAGACACTTCATCCTCCCCTACCCCTTTTTCCTCTGGAAACTGCTACTCTGTTTTTGATTGGTTTGTTCATTTATTTTGTTTTTTTATATTCTACATGTGAGTGAAATCATACAGTCTTTATCTTTCATCATCTGACTGATTTCATTTAGCATAATACCATCGGGGTCTATCCATGTTGGTGCAAATGACAAGGTTTCATCTTTTTTCATGACTGAGTAGTATTGTACCATGTATGTGTATTGTACCTTCTATATGCATTCATTGCTTAATGGGTACTTAGGTTGTTTCTGTATCTTGGATATTATAAATGATACTATGAAGAACATAGGGGTACATATATGTTTTCAAATTAGTGGTATTTTCATGTTTTTTAAAATATAAATATTCAGAAGTGGGATACCTGGATCATGTGGTAGTTCTGTTCATAGTTTTTTAAGGAATCTCTATACTGTTTTCCATAGCAACTGTACCATTTTTCATTACCTTTTATCCACATCCTCACCAACACTTGAATAACCAACTTCTTACCATATTTTGATGATTTTTCAGATTTTGAAAGAGTATGAGTTTTCAGATTTTGTCAGTAATTTAGAATACATATATTACTTCTACTTATGAGTTTTGTCTGATCTTTTCTTTTATTCTCAATTTTGGATGCATAACTAATTTAAAAAAAATAGTATTTAAAGCTCTCTCAGTTTCATTCCTGCCACCTTCAGTGTTGAAATATAGTTTATAATGTTGGAATTGATATTTATATAGAGGCTTCAAGATAAGTGGTATTTATATGGAAACTTTAAGGTATTATAGAGACTTTTAAGACACTGGATTTGCATTTACTGAAGAAACTTTATTATGAAGAGGAAAATTATTTCATCATCATTTTCCACACATAATGTGAAATCAATTGTAAAGCAATCTGTGTGTTTCTTAAGCTTTGTTATTATTTTGTGAATATATGTAGTTATGTTTTGTATGTTTTTTATTAGTGCTGTTCATGACTTTGTGTATCATAGCACAGATAGAAATGACAGTGTTTGCATGGTCCACTGGAGTAAGTGGAGAAAGCTGAGGGCAACCCAGCCTGGGTTCAGCCGTACTTCCTCCATCCCTCAAGGGCTGACAGGATCGTCACTCATCTCTAACTTATTCCCAGGTCACCAGTGAGCCTCTGCTCTACATCATTTCAGTTATTTTGTGCAGTTGTTTTATAATTAGAATGAAATTTAGTTTTCATTCTTATGTTGGAGAGCATTATGTAAAAACGTATTTCTTCAAAAATATTCTTTTCACATGGACGGTAATCACATTCCCCTACTTTCCTCTGTGAATGAAACTTTCACACTAAAACCTCAAGTGGTAAATAAATATGAAAAAATTGGAAATAGTATATATTTTAAAGAAAAAAAATTAATGATATTTAAGTTGTCACTGAAATATAAATTGATGTATAGTTGTATATACATTCTGATGAACTTTGATTATCTTTAATAGTATGTGTCTTATTGCAAGATTATGACAATGTCCTTTCATTTATTCAAGTAACATTTAAAAAATCTTGTAGTTAATTTTAGAAAGATCCTGTTGTCAAAAGGAATATATCTGAATGTATTGGAGTTAATGCAGAAGCATATGCATTCTCCTGAAGTGGCTGAAAGTGGCTGTAAAATGCTAAATCATCTTTTCGAAGAAAGGTAATAAATATTTATGAATTTATGTAGAATATATAATATTGGACAAGGTAGAATATCAATATTTTGAGCATAATTGTAAGACTAAAAACAAGGCATTTGAAGATGGAAACATTTTGCAGCATAATCTCATGTCAGTAATACATAGACTTATTTTATTTATATATAGAAATATGTTGAAAATTTGCTTTTGTGCTTTATGATTGGTATTGACTGTGTTTTGAGAAATGGTGCTTATATAGCACATAACCTTAAACAGTTTTAAAAATTTTGTTATGTGGAAGATATAAAACTAGGATATGGCTTCTAATGGTTGCTTTCTCACAAAAACTAATATTTATCAATATTCATTCTTTAGAATTAGCTTTGTCTTTTCTTCCTGCTCTCATTCCTTACCTGGGGAAGCATTTATCACTTTTAGTTCAAGCCCAGGGGTGTTAAGATTGTATGTCTAGTTTGTGGCACAGAGAGACCATATCATTTATCTGGGGGTGGATAATGCAGGTTTGGGGTAGAATGGCAAGTAGTGGTGAGGTGGGGAGGGAAGGGAAGTGGAATCTATCTAAAATTTGTTTAAAAGACTAAAAATTAATACAGAGAGTTATCTCCTCCCAAAGGATGTGCTCAGCACATTTTTGTACTTTATTAGATCAAAGAACGAGAGGTAACTTTGACATAGTCTAAATAAATTTCAAACGGAAAAACAGCATTAGAAAACTGTCCTGTGTCAAATGGCACAGATGTTGCAGTAAAAGCTGATTTTGAGTCCTGGTTTTCCCACTAATTTGAGTCAACTGTTTGATCTCTAAACTTCAGAATCCTCATTGGTGATGAGGACTAATAATAACAAATTCATAAGTTTTTGGCTTATAATGTAAGGATTAAATAAGTTTGAACAAAAGACTTAGGAAAATGGTTCATTTTAAGCCCTCAATAAAACATAACTGTTTTTACTAACAGGTATTAAATATTAATAGGGCTTCCCTGGTGGTTCAGATGGTAAAACATCTGCCTCCTAGGCAGGAGACCCGGGTTTGATCCCTGGATTGGGAAGAGCCTCTGGAGAAGGGAATGGTTACCTACTCCAGTATTCTTGCCTGGAGAGTTCCATGGACAGAGGAGCCTGGGGTCTCAGTTAGAAATGACTGAATGACTAACACTTTCACTTTCCAATATGACTAAGTGAAATGCATGTAGCATGATAAACTATGTAATATGTTTACAGACTTAGAATGAATGGCATTACCTTTTTTTTTAATGTAAAGATACATTGTTTTTAATGTAATGTAAATGTAATAATTCAATGTAATTTAATAAGTCCAGCTTATCTATTTATGTTTATATGTCATAACTTTAAACAATATCTCTTTTTTAAATGTTGCTCTTGACATTTAAATGAAAAGTTTATGTTAAATTGTGATTGTTCATGGTCCTGTCAGTGTGTGAACCTTTATAAGGAGGGAAAAACACAGTGGAATAATGGACATTTTAAGATGTTGTAGATTCTGGCCAATTAATCTTTCTGGCTGTTTCCTCATATGTAAAATGCATAAATTTCCAGTACTGGGGATTCAGAGTTAACTATGACAGCGTGCCTGCCCCTAAAAATCTCATTTGTTAGCAGATAATTACAATATAGTGTGATAAGTCAATGACAAGGATGTGTAAAATCATAGGGTATTGGTGAATCAAGTTAGGGTGACCAAAAGAGAGAGGCTGCAAAGAGGGGATGTGTTTAAACTGGGACTTTCAGATGGTAAAGAAGGACTATATGTCAGTAACCATAGACCCATGCAAAGTGAGGACCCAGGTCTGATATGCAGAAGTTTTAGTCAATATGGTACTATGTAAAAGCAAGGGCTGCCTCTATTGAATTTGGTAGGACCTACTGAAATCTACATTTATGTGTAGATTAACATACATTTGTGTGTGTGTTAAATAACTGCTAAAATGCCTTAGAGAAACCAAGACTTTAGTGCAAATAAAGCTAATTAAGACTACCATAATACAAGAAGTCCTGGTGTGTTAATCAGGAAAGGACAGGTAGTTATGCTGTAAACAGCTCTCTGGACTTGGCGGTCAGAGTTTGCATTCCAGCCTTGACTCTGTCATGTTCCAGTGAAAGGACCTTGATGTTTAACCTCTGTCAGCCTAAACTCTCTACCTAGAAAATGCAAATAATACCTTCTTTCCAGGGCTTGTTGCCAGTGACCCTGTATAGATCAAAAGGAGGTTGTTAGTTCTGGGAAACTAAGTGAAAGACTTCCCAATATCCTGTGAATCTAACTTCTTGAGGTCAAAGTTTAACCAAATAAGAATTTAAATTGTGTTTGCTCATATTACTGAGTTTACATAGCCTTTTCTGATAAAATAGTCCTGTTTTCTTGCACTTGTGTCAAATTGGTGTTTGTATTGGAATCAGGTTGGACTTTTAATAAGCATTTCACTATTATATCTGCAGTAGCACTTCCCTGGATACAATGGCAGCTGTGGTCCCCAAAATAATAACAGTCATGAAAAGTCATGAGACATCATTATCAGTGCAGCTGGAAGCACTTCGAGCTATGTTACATTTTATAGTTCCAGGTAAGTTATATAATTGATTGTGGAAAGAGCTGTCATTGTAATTGAATTTTTTGACTTTTCATGAAATATCAACTTTCCAGGCAAAAATTAAAGGACTAGTTTCTGCCAACCAAATTCAAATCTTTGCACTAGCCCAATAATAAAACTAGAGGGAAAATGATGAGATAGAAGAGTCAGATAAATTTACATTAAAATTTAATAAGAAGCATCAATAGTTTATTTACAGAAAAATAACTGCAATGTAGTGTGGTGCTTCAACTCCAACAATAGTGTCATCTCTGCTATTTCTTTTGTATTTCTGTTGACATTGCTGAGTTCAAGTTTTTTGTTTGTTTTCTGTCTCAATTATAATAATAGCTAACTAATTTTCACACTTCCTCTCTTGCCTCTTTCCAGTCCCTCTATACTCTGTGGTTGAATGCATCTTTCTCAAATATAACCATGTGGCTTTTACTCATTAACTATAATAGTGTCCATTGTACCCCATTTACATCCTGCTCACATTTGTTATGACTTTATTTGTCCTCCAAACCCATTTAAAACACCTGCTCCTCCATTTCTTTAGCGTTTATTTATTAATTGCCTCTTATGTTCTATACATTGTGATGACCTCAAAGGTCTGAAAAATAGGTGAAAAAAGACAGCATTGTACTACTTATAGGAGCTTAGAGGTAGAGAAACAGATAGCTAATTACCAGACAGTTGAGAGAGCCTGTTAAGGGGCTTCCCTGGTTGCTGAGATGGTAAAGAATCCACCCTCAATGAGGGAGACCTGGGTTCAATCCCTGGGTTGGGAAGATCCTTTGGAGAAGGGCATGGCAACCCACTCCAGTATTTTTGCCTGCAGAATCCCATGGGCAGAGGAGTCTGGCAGGCTACAGTCCATGGGGTCATAAAGAGTTGGACATGACTGAGCAACTTTCACTTTCATATTATAAAAGTCTATGAAAATATTGATGGAAGCACAAATAGTTTATTCAAAAGAGTATGTGAGAAATTGTGATGTTTGCAGTTGATGGGTGAGTAAGGCTGACCTGGTAAAAAGGCCAGGAGGGACATTTCAAGCAGAAAGAGAAAGAACACATGGTCTGGGATGAGTGGAGCATGGTGTTGAGGAGAGCAGTGCCTGGGGGTGAGTGGAAGGATGGGCAGAGGCTGAGAGGGAAGGTCCTTGAACAGAAGGCTGAGCAGTTTGTGCTTTTTTTTAATGCAAGTCAATTAAAAAATTTTATTAAAGGTGTTTGAAAGTTGCAGTGTCATAACTAAAGCTGCCATTTATAACAGTAGTAGTATGGTGTGGAGCATGATTGGCAGGCGAGAGCCTCCTGCAAGGAGACTAGGCTGGAGGCTGTGATGGCCACATGAGACATAACGGGAGCCCAGCCAAGAAAGCAGGAGAGGATGGGTGTGGGAGGTGATTAGAAGGCACCTTTGGTGTGATTTTCTGACTACTGAATATCAGGGTTATTATTATTTTGCTCTGAGAGTCCCAGAACTTTTGAAGTTCTTTTTTTTTACTCCTTTTAAAATGAAATCTTCCTAAACCTACCATTTTCTGTTGTAATATTAGTATTTATATTTCTGAGCATAGAATTTTTCAAGGAAAGGGCTTTCTTTAGTCATGTCTTATTTTTAAAATCCCCTGGAAACTTGGACAAAAATTCAGTAAATTTTGAATTGAATCATGTCCCATTCAAATTGTCAAACAACTTTTGAGATATAATTTAACAGACATAAATTTGCTTGGATATTATTGAGAGTTTTAAAAAATTTTATAGATTGTAAAAAGCAAATAAAATCCTTTTGATTGTCTTTAAAGATGTCAACCTTATTCTTCTGAGAGTGGATTTGAGTTTTAAACATAACCAAAAGACATTCAGAATTGTCTGTTAATAAAATAATACTCTTTTAGTTAAAAAATAAGGTTTGAATATAGAATTTCTTTTGTTTTATTGTTCTGAGATGATCCTGAAGTGACATTGATAATAATAATTTAGATGTATGAAATGATGTATTTAAATGATAAATCATAGTTTTATAATGTTTTTAGGTATATTAAACAGGTGCCCTTGAAAATAATATTATAAATTCATGGTGATACTTTATATATGAAAATATGTTTATTAATAGACATACCTTATAAGCATATCAATATATACATACATTTTTCTATTAGGTAAAGGCTTAATCATCTACTTCACTCTGTGGTAACATAACTATATTAGCAATAGCACGCCACACAAATAACCATATTCTATCATGCTGTAATTATGCCACACTATACCATCCTGTAGTTAGGGATTGGGAAGATCCCCTAGAAGAGGACGTGGCAACCCACTTTAGTCTTCTTGCCTGGAGAATCTCATGGACAGAGGAGCCTGGCGGGCTGTAGTCCATAGGGTCGCACAGAGTCGGACCCGAGTCGGACCCGACTGAACCAGCTGTGCGCATACCATCCTGTAGCATATGATTCCGTATGTCAGTGAGTAACTATAATATCAGTACCCCAGTGGTTTTGAGGTTGAATATGATTATGGTTTTGACATGTTAAGTTGAAGTAGGTACTTATAAGATGTTTAGATGTACATGTATACAATTATTAACTAAACCATATTCAAACTATTAATTGTAACAGATGTGCATTATAGCAAATTTGTATAATTTAATATCTAATTCAGGAGCAAGTATTGCATCTAGTATTATGTCACTTAAATTGCTTTCAATCTGGTACTGTTCACTTCCTCCTTTTTTATAACAATAACTTATTGAAGTGATTGAGCCTGTGCTTTAAAAGAATGACACTAAAGACCTATTTATTTTAATAAAATATCATTTGACTTGTTCCTTCTTGCCTTGTTCAATTCTAGGGGAAACAGTGCAAAATTCTTTAGGAAAGGACATATGCATATTGGGAAGTGTATAGAGGAACGTGATTATGAATATAAAGCCAAACAGTCCGAGAAACTGAATTTGTTTACTTTGCAGAGGAGATAATTCAAGAGGTTATGAAACTATTAAAACCCATTCATTTATATTTAGTTAATAACAAATGTGTAAGGCATTATTCAAAGTACTTCATATAAAATTTTAAAATTTTTATAGCAACCCATCAGTCAGATTCTACTCCCCCCACCCCATTTTACCGATGATGAAACTGAGACATGATACAAAGATTTTAAGGTCATGACTTATATATGGAGCAAAGTTTCCACCCAGGCAGCCTGAATTAGGAGCTTTCCAGGTGGTGCTAGTGTAAAGAATCTGCCTGCCAGTGCAGGAGACTTAAGAGACGTGGGTTCGATCCCTGGGTCGGGAAGATCTCCTGGAGGAGGGCATGGCAATGCACTCCAATTTTCTTGCCTCGAGAGTCTTATGGACAGCAGAGCCTGGCAGACTACAGTCCTTGGGGGTCACAGAGAGTTGGACATGACTGAAGCGACTTAGCATCAGCACCCGCACCAGCCTGAATTAGAATGGGTACTTTCTAAAGATGCATTTGTGCAACAGGTGGATATTGAAGAGCTGTTATAGCTAAAGAGCTATGCTTGGAACTCTTGGTAATCTGGAGATGATTAGGTTATAGATCCCCTGTTCAAAAAGTTTGCAGTTCTAACAGTTTAAAGAACTATTATCTGGTAAGGAAATTATATCGATTCTGGATAGTAGAACCTCAAGTAATATGCCAAAGACCAGAGATGAAATTTTGGGAATGTTCATTTGGTCTTAATGTAAGAAAGACATTTAGTAAGACTCCTTACATTTGGCATAAAGCTTTTACATTTCAACAGGACTGCTTTTAATGGTCACAATGCTTGTGATATAATAGGCAGCTTTAGAAATTAATGTGGTCTTGGTCACTGAAAATGAGACACTAGAGTTTAAGTGGCTTGTCCAAGGTCATACAGCTGTAGTGAATGTCAGGACCTGTTTGAATAAATTTTAAAATGAGCACTGAAAGTTCCGGAAGGGTGAAAATCATGCCTGTCAAATTCTTTGTGGTATTCTCAGCATGTGGCAAAATCCTTTGCATGTATTGTTGGCGTTCAAATTTTTGTTAAGTAAATGAAAACTTATATGCAGCCAACTTATAACATTTATTAATACAAATTACTGAAATGAAAGATTATAAGGTATTGCTTATTAATAATTATTTCTATAGTCATAGATTTTAGAAACATCATTCACAATTATTTTACTTACATGTTCTACTATATGTTCTGTATATGTTCAATATTTTTTCAACCATTTGGGGATAGTTCAGCTACAATGTAGCTTAATAAAGTATGTTTTCTTTAAGTTACTTAATACTTTTATACAGCCTTAGAGGACTTTTGATAAAACTACAGGTTCTTTACCATCATAATGCAAATTTTCCATTGTTATTCCAGCTACTCTTTTATGTCTACCTTTCATATCTGACCTTTTTATGTTATAGTCCAAATAACTTTGAACTTTTTTCAAATCATCCACATTGCATAAAAATCTAGCTTCTTATATTGAGTACAGACTGTTAATACACAAAAAAGAGATTGTTGGTTCCAGAAAATTGCTCCACCATAGTAACTTCTTGCTACTTTAAATTCAGTAAACAGCCATATACAGTGTATTTATTTTATATTTGGTGATGAACAATTTTTAAAAATTTCTTAAACTTTAGAGTTATTTCTTTGATAAAGAACCAGGGATTAGAAAAAGGTACAACATGTATATGTATTGTTGGGTTAATTATAATCATTCCTAATAAATGACATTCTATTCAGCCTAAATCTTTTATGAGAAAATGATTTGTATTTATTTTGCATTTAGGCATCCCAGAAGAATACAGGGAAGATACTGAATATCAGCATAAGCTAAATATGATTGAAAAGCAGTGTTTTAGGAATGATATTCACAAATTGGTCCTGGCAGCTTTGAACAGGGTATGTATAATATGGATTCTGCCTTTATACTCTTAACTAGAATATGAAATTTGGGGATGTATGGGGGCTTTTATTAGCTTAAGTTTCCCATGTTCTGTTTACTATGATAGTAAGAAGTTATCTGTTTAGAAACATAAGATGACAGTAGGGATGTAAGGGGAAGAGATGCCATTCCAGCTAAGAGAAGTGCACGGTCAATTACAGATTTTGACAGGTTCTTTTGATAAATCCATTTGAGTCAATTCAGTCAGAGAGAGAAATCTGGATGTTCACCTTAACCTCATGAGTGATGTCAGGAGCCGTGGCTGCTGTTTTCTCTTTCTGTCCTCCTGGTCTTTCTTTTCTGGTCCCATGCTGAAAGGTTCAGTCCATGAAGACACACAGTGAGCAACATTGAAGTTTGTTTGTTTTTTTTTTCATTTATTTTTATTAGTTGGAGTCTAATTACTTTACAATATTGTAGTGGGTTTTGCCAAACATTGACATGAATCAGCCATGGATTCACATGTGTCCCCCATCCTGATCCCCCCTCCCACCTCCCTCTCCATCCCATCCCTCTGGGTCTTCCCAGTGCACCAGGCCCAAGCACTTGTCTCATGCATCCAACCTGGGCTGGTGGTCTGTTTCACCCTTGATAGTATACTTGTTTCAATGCTGATGATAATGAGTGATGTTGAGCATCTTTTCATGTGTTTGTTAGCCATCTGTATGTCTTCTTTGAAGAAATGTCTGTTTAGTTCTTTGGCCCATTTTTTTTTTTTTTAATTCCCTGTGCTTTTTTGTATTGTACTCCTTAGAGATAACCTATGAAATAGCTCAGTGTTCATTGTTTCTTCCTAGTGTTAGGCATTTACAAACACTGGGTTTCCTGCTGGTTCAGCAGTAAAGAATCTGCCTGTGATGCAGGAGATGGAGGAGACATGTGTTTGATACCTGGGTTGGGAAGATTCCCTGGAGAAGGAAATGGCAACCCACTTCAGTGTTCTTGCTGTGAAAATCCCATGGACAGAGGAGCCTGGTGGGCTACAGTCTGTGGGGTCGCAAAGAGTTGGACACAACTTAGCAACTGAGCATGCACATAACTATGTACATTCGCAATGATATGCTATAATTAATCAATGAATAATCATATTAAGTCTGAAAAAAAGAGAAGAGAATTATGTTTATGTTGTGCAATGAAAAAGGTGTTGATGGAATTAAGATGGTTTGGAAGTTTAACATAAGATGAATTGGTTCTTTATAAAAGATATAAAAGTAAAGATGTAAAGATTAGGTTAGTGTTTTTATGAAAGGAAAAGAGTAGTCAAAGTAATTAATGGACATAATTCCTTTTGATTTAGTATACTTTGAAAAATGTCATGAATTAAATAGAAGAACCTGCAGAGAGATCTTCAAACATTCATTTTAAACTGAATTTTATAATGTAATTGTCTATGATACATTTGAGTCATTTTTCCTCAGACTTTAATATGATTCTTGAAGATAGCTTTGGGTTGAATTTAATTCTAGAAATACTTGGTGAAAATAAGAATGTAGAAGGAACTGTGTTAGGTGCTGGGAGGACAAAAATGAATATGCTTTGTATCCTTCTGTAATGGATCTCATAATCTGGCTGGGGAAGTAACAGCTATGCATAAAACATAAAACAACACTTAAGTTGTTCGGTATTAGCACTTATGAGCTGCACTAGTTTTATGAACAGTACTTTAGGTACAGTAAATTGTGTCTGACTCTTGGGACCCCATGGACTGTAGCTTACCAGGCTCCTCTGTCTATGGGATTTGCCAGGTAGGAATACAGAAGTGGGTTGCCATTTCCTTCTGCAGGGGATCTTTCCAACCCAGGGATTGAACCTGGGTCTCCTGCATTGCAGGCAGACTCTACTGACTGAGCCAACAGAGAAGCTCAGAACTAGAGGAAAGAATAGTTAATTTTATTCATGATGTGTGTTGGTGAAAAGCAAGTGGTACCAGAAAAGCCTTTTGGTAACTTTGATTCTGGTTATGTCTTCTTTCCTAACATTATTGAATACAGGTCTGATAGAGTGGAAGGAGTTGCCAGGCAAGGGAGAAGGATTGTACTTAACTGCCATCAGTACTGTGATGCCAAGAAAATCATCGTGCTCCTGGGTCTTACTTTCTTTTGCTATATAATCCCAGGAGAAGTGGTTGAGAAACTCCCTGTTAGTCACTGAGTTGTGTCCGACTCTTTGTGACCCTATGTACTATAGCCCATTACACTACTCTCTCCTTGGGGTTCTCCAGGCAAAAATACTGGAGTGGGTTGCCACTTCCTTCTCCAGGGGATCTTCTTAACCCTGGGATCAAACCAGGGTCTCCTGCATTGCAGGTGGACTCTTTACTGATAGATTCTCAATCAGGGAAGAATACTGGAGTGGGTTGCCACTTCCTTCTCCAGGGGATCTTCTTAACCCTGGGATCAAACCAGGGTCTCCTGCATTGCAGGTGGACTCTTTACTGCCGTGAGTCACCAGGGAAATCCGAGAACCTCCCTACCCCTTTCTTTATTTTCCGAGCCACACTTGGATAATGACACAGCATCTCACTAAATAGTGACTGCCATTTGTGGGCAAGGAATTAAGGTCATGGGGAAGCAGAAGTGGTACTGTTTTGTTTTTAAAAATCTCCCCTGTGTAATTCCCCTGATTCTTTTCTGTGCTTGAGAAAAAAAATGCTCTAAAATATATATATTTTTAGTTCTAAAATCCCATAATTGCATGTGTCGCTCTGAATAAATGTTACAAGGCATCAGAGATTTTAGATCCAAAAACTGTTGATGCAGTAAAATGAATGGCCATTAAAAATAAGCCTCTTCTTGGATAGCAAACTTCCAAATAAGATAGAATTTGAGATTCAACTAAGATTTACAATGCAAAGATTATTAAAAGTATTTATTAAGGTGAATCAATGTCTGGAGGTGTACATAAATCCAGTAACATTCAGACTGAAGTTAAACCTGTCTGAAATATTAACATTCCATTTATGCTTGATCCTTTTAGCTTTTTCTACACATGAAAACTTTCAGTAATCTGTTCCGGAGAGATCTATTTGCCCAGTGTTGTCTCTGGAGAACACAGTGGAAAATAGAGCTCTCAGCATTTCGGTCACATCTGTGCTTTGTGGGCAGTGGCACTGCTGTTGTCTTGTCCAGAAACTTATGAAGTCAGACCAATCCTCTCATTAAATGTACACAAGTCAGAGAGCATGTGTGCTTCTCAAAAACCTTAAAGCAACATGTACTCAGTTTAAATACTGAGGATACTGATTTCAATCGTGATTAATATATAGTGAAAGCAAGAACTGATTTGTGAAAGCAACAGCAATAACAAAAACAAAGAGAAATTACATAGGAGTAAGGCAAATAAAAGTTTATAGAACTACTCCAAAGAAGACTCTGAAACTCAACTGGGAGTACAGAGGAAGAGTTAAACATAGGAAAATATATACCCTCTGTTTTGATAAAATTACTACTTTTTAAAAATTGAAAATTTATCTGCATTTATGAATCCTTATAAAAATAACAATGGTATTTCCTGGAACTAGGTAAGCTAATGTACAATTTTGAGAAAATTAATTAAATAATTACATGAATAATCAAGATAATTTAGAGAAAGAAGATAATTAATATGGCTTAACTCTAGTATTAATAGTTTATCAAATGTATTATAAAACTTTAGTGATTATACTGGTGTGACATTGGCACTAGAGATAGATCAGTATCACACAATGGTGATTTAGGAGAGAGACTCAAATGCAAATTTTCAATTCGTGTATGATATTTCCCAACCACCACAAGGGAAAATAGATTGCTCAGTAACTTGTATTGAATCAACTAATTCTCTGGCCATCTGGAGAAAGCAAAGGAAGCTGCATATTTACATTACTCATTTAAAGAATCAAATCTCATGTGAATGAGATTTAAAAGTAAAAATGAATCTGGCATAGATTCTCAATCAGGGAAGAATACTGGAGTGGGTAGCCATTCCTACCCACCCAGAGCTCAAACCTGGGTCTCCCACATTGCAGGCAGATTCTTTACAGTCTGAGCTGCCAAGGAAGCCCACGATCATTATTAAAGAAATGTAAATTAGAAACAAAACAAAAACCTTGTTGGAGGAAATTTAGTAATACTCATCTACATTAAAATGGACATGTTTTCTGACCAGCTGTCCAACTCTAAGAATTTATAATATAGATACACGTGTATATGTGCACAACATTTTTTAGCAAGAATATTTATTGTGGCATTATTTGTAGTAAGAAGAATGTGGCAGCAAACTAAATGCTCACATGGTAATCATTAGTGTTGTTTGCCCCCTTCTGGTGATTCTGGGATTGCATTTATTGGTGCTTTTGTAGTTGGATTGAGTCACGTAATGGTTTTGGCCAAGGAGTTCTAAGCTGAGGTTTCATTTGTGATTTCTGGACCAAGCATTTGATTGCTGGTGCGGCATCTTATAGAATACTCTCTCAGGTACTGTGACCTGTGATATCTGAGCTGGTGGTTGCTCAGTTAGCACGACTCCCAGAGTGGCTGTGCTGAGCAGAGGCCCTCTCCTGATCTATAACACGTATGAAGCATGAATCAAAATTGAACGTTTTCTTTTTCCAGCTTATGTAGTTTTGAGGTTGTTACTACAGGTTAGTTTAGTCTGTGCTGACAATACAATCCTTATCAATAGATCCCAAGTAAATAGATTGTAATATTTTGAAGCTGTGTAGTTCTCTGTAGGGATTAAAAGCAACTTGGTGAGATTCCTAATGTGTTGCCAAGGAATTAAGTACAGTTTTCCATGAATATGACAAATATATTACCCAGGTATTCCTTTTTTTCCCTTCACATATATTAGCACATTATGCATACTTTTGGTGAAATTAGTGTATTTTCACTTCTTTATATCTTCTCTCTTCCCTTTATCACTCAGTTAAAGCAGATTATATGGTCTTTAGTTTTATGACTTTAAGTGTATAACATATTCT